CAACCCCGAACTGGGTCATGTTTTACTGAATCCCAGTCCCTTCCCTATCTTAAATTCCAGCCTCATTCTCACTCTCTCAGCTCCAGTTCCCACCCTCTCTGCTAGTTTCCCCATCTCCTCCCAATTCCATATCTCCTTTTCTGCCACCTCTCAGCCTCTCCTTGCTTTCCTGCTGTCTCTGCTGCTTTTCCTGTGATTTTCTGCTGCCCTCTCTCTGTTTTCAGGCTTCCCCAATCACCTTCTGTAATTCCCACCCCCCCCTTGCAGCTTCCCAGCTCCTATTAGCTGTCCTGCAGTTCTCTCCAGCTTCCAGGACCTACTGCCACTCTCTGCAACTTCTCTAGCTGCCCCGGAGCCATCCTCTGGCTCCCCATACCCAGAGTCCCTCTTTAACACCCACACTTTCCCTTAGTCCCATTTTTCCCTCTCCCTATCTATCTTTTCAGCTCCCCCGTAGCTCTGGCTCCAGTCCCAGACTCTGTGCTGGCATACTTGCCTGTCCTACAGGCTTTGGGTGTTGTCTTTTAATCAAATAAGATCAATTAACCTAAAGTTACCCCCAGCTTCAGTTCTTCAGCCCAGGCCCCTGTAGTCTACCGGGTCTAATCCCAGTCCTGGTAACTTTAACTCCCTACACTTCTATTTTCTTACCTTAACCTTTTCCCCAGGTATCCCAACTACACCAAGCACATACATACATATACATCACAACAACCAATTTAGGAACTCACCTGTGTGTATGTGTAGGTGGGTGGTATGTGTATAAATTAGTGAATATACACACACACACACACATATAGATATCATTGTGTGTGTGTGGTATATAAATTTAGTAATCCACATATGTGTATTGGATGTGCAGGTGTTGGCAACTGGTAACTGATTCTGTATAAATCTGGTGTGTGTAGCATGTATGGGCTTAAATTGGTAATAGGTATGCATGTGCCTGAGCTGGTTGTGTGACTGTGTATGCCTAGTAGGGGTGTATGCACCTAGTGAGTGTATATGTGCTTAATTGATTTTTGCGTGTGCATATGCAATTGTACACCACACCCTCCTGTCCAACAGCACAATATTGAGATCCTGCGCATTGGCTTGACCCCTCAGGGCAACACTTGGACTCAGAATAATGAACTTCATTGGTATTCCATTTTGGTGTATATTAAGTCTTGACTGGGATGGTGTGGTTTGCTCAGTTAACATGGAGTTAATTTCAAAAGACACTGATAGAACCTACCTCAGAAAATGAGTAGTAGCTCTTCTTAACTCTCTTTGCCAGTACTTAAAAGGAATAAGCAGGTTAAATAGCAGCCTGCACATCAACTTGTGGCAAAAAAATCTACAAGTACAGGCAGTCCTCAACTTAAGAAGTTTTGAGTTACAACAAATGGCACTTACAACATTTATAAACTGACACCGTGTTTCAACTGTTTGATGTCAGTTTTGAATTTACAGCGCTTAATCCGATGCGATGCCACGCCAGCGAACAAGTTTGCTGCATTGCCCATCTCCCTGGAGAACATCTGTCCAAACTTTTTTGGACACTTTCTAAGAAAGCAGACAAGACTCCAGAAAAACCTACAGTCAAGACTCCTGAGAAGACTCCAACCGAGAACCCTTCAGAAAGTCCAAGCTCTTCAAAAAGTCCAGCAACGTCACCTCAAAGAAGTCCTTCCAAATAAATATAATTGCTATTTACAATATAAGTACATTAATGTAGCTATATTGCTCATCTATAATTGATTTAAGTACAACATTCTGGTTTATTTTTGGTGAAAATAGGGTATCGGGCCTTGGTTCAGGAACCAATCCCCCATTTATAACATTCTTCCTATGGGAAAATCAGTTCTGAGTTAAGATGTTTCAGTTTAAGACGTGGTTTTCAGGAACCAATTGTGTCATAAATCTAAGGATTGCCTGTACATGCTGTATGAAAAAGAACTTCCTTTTGCTTGTTTTGAACTTTTTGCCTAATAATTTTACCACATGATCCCTAGTTCTAGTATTGTGAGAGATTAGTAAATAGTAACTTCCTACCTTCAGTAATACTCAACATTTCTGGCCTGTGGGCCAGATTGTACATTCAGGGCCAGCCCATGTGTGCAACCCTATGTATTAGATCAAGCCCTGGTATCACTCTGTGCTGGCATGACTCCACACACCAAATCCCGGATCAAGAAATTTGGCAGCAGAGAAGATGCGGCAGTGTTAATTGCCATGGCTCTGAGAACAATTACTGCTCCTGTCTGCCAAGTTTCCATACCTGTGGGGGCTGGATGATATTGCTCTGAAGGCTGTGTCTGGTCCACAGGCCAGAAGTTGAGCACCACTGGCCTACCTACTTTCTTTATGCCATTTCACTGGTTTTTAAACCTCTGCTATATCGCTCCCTCACTTGTCTTTTCTCTAAACTGAAATGCCCTAGCCTGTTTAGTCTTTCTTCATACTGTAGTCCCTGCATGCAAGAACCATCATTATTTCCACTATCTGCATTTTTCCTAGTTTCACTATATCATTTTGGAAGTGACCACAGCTGCATGCAGCATTCAAGGTGTGGTGTAATAACATTTTCTGCTTTCAATTCCCTTTCTAATAATTCCTATCATTTTACCTTTTTGACTGCTGCTCTGCACCAGACAGATGTTTTCAGGCAACCCCACAATAATTCCAAGATTTCTTGAGTAGTAACAGCTAACGTAATGCCAAGCTTTGGGTTCTTGCTTTCATTAAAAGCCTCCTTAGAGGATCAAGACAAAAAGAGCTTGATCAGGCCTTTAAGGTTTAAATCCTTAACACAGATTTATCTTTACAAGTTTTTCTCATGCATTTGCAATAGGTAGGAATTAATTAAACCAAAATGTTAAGTAGTGCTAATCAAAATTACCTCCCCTCCATTTTCTATCATTTCCACAATGTCAGAAACCCTACAAGTGCATTCTTCAGTGATTCAGAGAAGCTTCTAGGAAAAAAAACAAATCAGCCAACCTGAACTTCCAGGGTTGTGAGAGTGTCTATACCCCTTTCAGTGTTTCTCTTCTAAGTGTTGTGTGAATGCCCAGGGGTTCTGCTGCTGCCGGATCTGCAGAGGTGGCTTTGCTCCTAGGGAGAGGTAGTTAGCTGTGGTAATTTGAAGTCAGGCAGAGAGACACATGAAAGTATATCCAGTTTGGTTAGATAGAGAGCACAAGCTTTCTGCATGTGAGTTCACTTCCTCCAGTGCACTTCCTTTGACAAAGCAAACTTGTGCCAGAGATTCTCAGCTGAGGAATGGGTGGGAGAGAATGACACCCTGAGGTACGTTGAGATCTTTTGTTAGTCCTATTAGGTGGGCAAACGTCCCAGGATAACCCGAGAGATTTAGGAATTTGTAGTATGGAAACTACTCTGCCCCAATGCTGTCTTTCTGCTCTAGTATCTTTCTATGTTCAAAAATGGAGTGAAAATTAAGAGCTGACGTTTTCCAAGAGGGAGGGAGCTTCACCTTACCTAGGGGTGGCTTAAGTCTGAAAAGGCTGAAAACCACTGATTTATGCCCTCTGTTCCAGTGGTCCGCAACCTTTTTTGTACCAGGCCCCATTTGTTAGCATCAATGGACATTCCTGATCCAGTGCCCCTCACTCCTGACCCACTGCCCCCAGACCCCAGCCCCTGAGTGTGTGGGGCAGGGTGGGGTGTGTAGGGTATTGGGAGGGCCCACGTAGCCCCTTGCAGACTGGAACTCTGCCAGCCTGCAAGGGAAAACCCATGGCTTCCCACATTTTTCTCTTTTAAAAGTGAATCTATTTTTCAGGTTTGTTTGTGACCCTTGTATATATTCTTACAAGCTACAGGTTGAGAAACACTGCTCTATACATCCCCATCCCCATTGCCTGTCGTGCGTCTCCAGAGACGTGCCCTCCAGAGGTGCTCTCCACTGCCTCTTACTTCCAGGTCCAGCCCCCCAGGGCTCGCCAACTCTGTTTGAATCTATTCTGGAAGGTTTCATCACATGATGTACTGGGATTAATTACTGTGCACCTCCGGAAGGGAAATGCACATGTATACTACGTTTTAAAAAACCCACTGGACTGCTGTATAAATTGGATTCGACATGGAATAAATATTTATTTTAACCAATGCCATATCATTTATCTCCCGGCTGACTCTCAGCAGTCTCCTGCAGATTTCTGTCTACTTCCCCGAGGCTCCAGGGCAGTACCTGGAGGCTTGGCAGCCCTACCAGGCAGGTGCCCCGCGTTTGAGATGGGTGTTGTCGCATCTTGCATTTCATCCTGTCAGCTCCGCCCTATGGGACAGTTTGGAGAGGGCTAACCCTGCCGCCTCTGGGGCACCCTTCCCGCCCTGCTCCCCTGTGACATGAGTCTGTGACTGGGGTGAAGGGGCAGCCCCCGGGCGTTCCAAGCCCCCCTGCCCCGAAAACTACAACTCCCGGCATGCCGCGCGGCGCCAGCAGCCGAGCGCGGCCATTGGCTGCGCTCTCCCCGCCCCTGCCCCACGTGTTGGCGCCGCGCGCCTGGGCCGCTGCGTTCCGCTTGCCGCCGGTCGGGCAGGGCAGGGTAGCGCGG